AACGGGACACGGCTGATTGTACGCTCTTTTCAAAGATATGTACTTGAAGCTGAAATAGCCACTGGACCTCATGCTGGCAACATTGTCTTGATCCCTCGCATAACACTCACACCATCGCAAACACGCTCCCCATTCTCTTCAAACGCACCCAATTCCCTGTTCGCCTGGCATTCGCTATGACCATCAATAAGGCATAGGGTCAAACTTTCAACACTGTCGGCCTCTACTTGCCTGAACCTCCATTCACGCATGGTCTACTCTATGTAGCCATGTCGCGCGTCCGCACCCCTTCATCCATCAGAATCATGTTAGATCCTGAGAACTCACGTATCGCGGGTCAGCAAGGCCAAAGCACAAGAAATGTTGTTTTTCACGAAGTTCTTCTATAATTCTTTTTGTCACCTACTCTATTTTTACATCGCCATTCTCTTTTTCTACATCGCCTATTCTCTTTTTTATATGCCTATTCTCTTTTTTATATTGCCTATTCTCTTTTTTGCCTATCTCTTTTTATCAATATCACTACATCATCTTTGTCAACACTTCTTTTCGCATTGCATTCTAAACTGGAGATAGTTAAGTATCCAACTTTGATGACTTTCTATGATAGACTACTTCTCACTGCACAATGATCTTGCTTTTGTTTTTGAAAACAGACAATAAGCATCTAATACCAAAACATTGATCCAACCTCGCTTGACAGGGGGTTTGGGGGGCTTGCCCCCCACTTAGGGGTCAAGGGGGGAACCCCCTTGCGACGCGTTTCCGTTGAATGATACGGAGCGAAGCGGAGGGGCTCATTCATCCGAGCGAAGCGAGGAAGGACCGCTAGTAGTTATAATAGAAAAAAAGAGAAACTTACACTCCTCTAGCTAGTATATAACATTTGGCAGCGACGGCAGCTTCAAAAGGCATAAAGTACGAACTTTGTTGTAGGAAATGGTATAGTGAAGGCGTGCACTAGTATTAGCAATATAGGTTGTAGGAAATGTAAGGAAAGGATAAAAGCCAAGAGGATCACCTTCCAACAGGACCGTAAATAAAAATCGAAGAAGGAGGAGGAAGAGAAAGGGAGTGAACCAAAGAAAAAAACCTTCAAAAAGTACTCATTACATGCATACTCACAAAATCTGATAGAAACATTTGTAACAGATTATGCAAGTAGCATGTCAATTCCACCGACTGATACTTCATCCATCTTTCTGTACACCAACTTTACCTACCACCTTACACCTGAGGTTATGAAGGCATGACGAAGCTGTATCCACTTGGCGTTCCCTTAGTACTGAATATTAAAGCGTTGTAGAAAGTAGTGGCCTGTGCAAAAGCCAGGACCATAGTGAAAAGTAACAGGCCATGCAGAAAAAAAGGAAGTGTAAGAAATAATGTATGGAAGCAGTCTAAGTATATATGCAGAGAAGAGGATTAACTGAGACCGTTGATTACTCCCTCAACGCATTCTATATTGTGCAACTTTATTACCATACTTTTACTTTTATGAACCTCATCTTGATTGCAATTGTCATTTACAACAGTATGAAAAATAAACATATTCAATCAGCATCGTAAAACATGTGCTGCCTTGTAATATGCGATGAGAATGTTTGTATATATAAAATGCATCATAACATCTTTTTTTAGATCCAATTGGTTTCAGCATGATATCAATTATGTATACAAGAGCAGCATTTTTGGCTACTCTATATATGTTTGTAAGACAGTACTATATAAAGTACATATGATCTTCTGATGCAAGGGTTTGTAGGGGGATTATGAAGATAATGCAGAATAGTAGTAGTGTGAGACCAGTCATTTTTTAGATACATCAAATGGTGCATACTGGTGTATGTGAAAGAAAACTCATAAAAGACTTCTCTTTTTAGCCAAAGCATACACTCGGAGTGCTTCATCCGATGTAGTAGTCGAGTAACTAACATGAAGTTCTGTTCTTGCAGCTATTGCATATACTGGGAACTTTTTGTACCAATATAGTAAATTTACATACATAAACAGAATACTTCATGCATAACTACCGCATCCAATCTCCAAAAATCCCTAACTTCTATAGAGGCCCGCCTTGCCTCTTTATATATAAATATCAAGGTCTTTCAAAAGCCCTTGATATTGGACTTTTCGCACGGTGGGTTCCGTCTAAACAACAAGTTGGTATATCTAATATTATGTAAAATGGTATACTTGACCCTCCCGGGTATTGCTTGATAGATAATTAAATATCAAAGTAATATTTTCTCAGTCGCATGGACGTGTAACAAAAGATCCAAGACGATATCCTTTTTGGGAGTGCTGTGTCAACCAAGGGGTTGATACGGCAGTTTTGCTGTTCATTTCCTTATCACGGATATGATATAAATTACATAAAAAAATCCTATATTCATTGTATCACTTTTATTTGACTCCCGAACAACGTACTATTACTATTTCTAGGGTATGTCGACGTTGACTCACGTTGCTTGAGAGTACCCTAAGAGGCTTAGATTACGTGACTTCCTAAAAAGGAAATAGCTGGGTGATTGGTTTTCCTGACGGCTAAACGTTTTCCCGGGGCTTGCTAAGAGGCTTAGATCACGTGACTTCCTAAAAAGGAAATAGACGGGTAATTGGTTTTCCCGACGGCTAAACGTTTTCCCGGACTAAGCAATAGCAGATATATATGCTTTAGTTTTTCAAAACTTTGCGTTGGTACACTCTTTTTCGAAATCAAAGTCGTGTGCTACGGAAAAGGAAGTCAGAGGTTGACAAAAATAGAAGTCGTATTTGGCCAGAAATCAATTCGGATGATGACAAATTGAAAGTCGTTTCACAGAGGAAAAAGTTGTCGCACAAAAAAGCTTAGTAAAGCCATCACTATAAAAGCACAACGCCTCGTTGAGGTCAAACCTCTTTTCTCTTTCACTATACTACAAATTATGAATGGTTAATTTTTTTATGAAGATGGACAGGGCCATGTTGTTGATGAGCATAGCTGCCCTGAACCCATGGATTATGTTGTTGATGAAGAAATGTACACCCTTCAAACAATCAGTTCTCACACTGATTATTTGCACACTCTTCATCATGTACACAACTATGAGCCTGTTGTTGTACATGTGGACGAAGTACAGAGTAAGGACGTTCATATGAAAGAATCAGTTACAAAACGAGATTACACAGTCTATACGGATCAGGACAAAGTAAGATTCTTCAAACTGATGTTCGAGAAGGTTTTGAGTGCGTCAGCTGCTGAAAAGCAGTTGGGAATTCATGTTCGCTCGGCGCAAAGGTGGGCGCTGCAGTATGAAAAAGATCCTGACGGCATATTTAAAAAGGGTAAAAGCTCTGGTCGTCCTTGCATTCTCAACGATGAGCATAAGAGAATTATTTTAGAATGGGTTGATGAGGATCCATCAATAGTTCTTGAGCAATTGATGGAAAAATTACGTCAAAGATTTGAAGGAATCCAAGTATCTAAGACAACACTTTATCGGTTTATGAAGAATGAATGCAACTTATCTTTGAAAAAAGCCAAGTTTCAACCCGTTGATAGGAACAGTGAACCCAAGATCCAAGAGCGGTTTGACTGGATACGCAAATGGGATGAGACAGACATGGATTTTAGAAAAAATTGTGCTTTTCTTGATGAGTCTGCCTTCTATATTAACATAAAGCGTAGTATGGCGTGGTCAAAAAAAGGATCTACTGCTGTGGTAACTGTCCCAAAAACAAGAGCAAAAACGACTACTATCCTGGGTGCAATCTCTGCATCTGGTCTGATTAAATGCAGCTTAAGACTTCTACAGGTTTCGACCAGAAAATAAAAGCGAACAAATGCTTCTGAAATTATTAGCAGAGGAACTATCACTGGTCATTATCTTGGTTTTCGCAAGGCTACAATAGATGAGATAGATAAGTATCAGCACATGAAAGGTCATTATGTGGTCATGGATAATGCTCCTATTCATAAAGCCGAAGATATTTCTCGGTATATTGAGTCTAGAGGATATCGATGTGCTTATCTTCCATCATACTCGCCTGAACTCAATCCTATTGAACAGTTTTGGTCTGTTCTCAAGAGTAAAGTTAAACGCAACAGGTTCTTGGAAAGCGAGACGTTGATGACACGAATCAGTGAGGCATCAAAGTGTTTAGAATTGAGTGATTTTGAAGGATTTGTTTCTCATTCTCATAAATGTTTAGATAGCTGTTGCAACGGAGAGCCATTATGATATAACGTTCAGTTTCCTTGAACAATTTATAATAATAAGTAAAAACACAAAAAAAAAAGTTGAGTATCGCAGGTGTGCAAAGAACGTTGAGGCAATCGAGCAGGAACTGAAGACGAGGAACAAATCATAGTATTTGTTCTCTCTTATAATAACAAAACATAAATGTTTTTGTTATTGGTCTAAATCTCATTATCTAGCCCCACACGTTTCGAAAGCAAGTTTCTCAACCACCCCTATTTTATATTTATGAAATCTTTATGTTCATAAAGATTACAAAAATATTTAATGATTACAAATTTCATTAAGAATTACAAAATTAACAAACTATATTTATAAATATAGTTATTAATTTTTAAACTTATAACATTAAAAAATATTATAATTTTTTAATGACCTATAAATATCTTATTATCCTTTAACTATAAGTTATATTTCGACGAGAGGTGTCGTCGAACATCAATGCTGGGATCAACATTATGGTATGGTGATGTCGTTAATATGTGACTCGAGTACTATTGAGTGGACAAAGATTTCAATGCAACACTCATTCTCAATGTTTAATGAGAAAATTTAAAAAGAAAAAGGAAAGAAAAAATAAGCTTTAAAAAAAACAGGGGTAGGTATGAATGTTTGTGTATGATTCAATCATTGCTCAATTCACAATGATGGGGTACGTTGGGAATCTTGTTGCATTGTGAAATTTTTCTGCCAATTCAGTATAGTTTGGCAATATCGATAGGCAATCGTGGCTGGCTTGTTAGAGACAACACACTTATACCAAAAGACCTTATTTACGGCCAAGAGGAGACGAATGTTGCGTAAGTTGAAAAATGCAGGAATGCCTTCTAAGGAATGAGGGAATGTAATACGAGCGATTTCGAACAAAGCATAAATGCCCCTGACAGTCAACTGTTGTAGGTAAAATGTAATGGTGAAATCTAGCAAAATAAAAAGCAAGTGGTAAGACATCCAATAAAAAGGGAGTAAATGGTGTCAAATTTACTGTTAATCTGAAAAGCAAGGGTGGAGTCCAGCAAGGAAACATTAATGGAGTTTTTGCAAAACACTGCCAGTCTTAAGAAGTCGACAGAAATGTCGTGCATTGAGGTGCCTTCTGGTTCTGCCTCCCCATACCCTCTGGAGCCCACAAAGGATCCTTGCTGCTTGTGGTAAATGGCAGCATTAGGCGAGCACTTCCGCGTTCAGTTGGCGCCGAGTTACTCCATTGCAAGTGCATATTTCGAGTAGGGTCAGACAGCAGTGTCGAGAGGATAGGATCAAAATAGGTACTCCACAAGGCAGTTTCACTTGTGTTTTTAACATTCACCGGTGTCGATGGTAATTTTTGTATGCTACAGGTGAGATAAATGTATGTCATTTGTTACGATTTCAACATATTTCTTGGTCACTTATAGGTTCGCAATGCCTCGTAAAAGACGGCGTGGTCCATAATCAAAACCAGCACCTTCTACAATGAGTTTTACAATGGTATCGTCACAGGTCACACTGCCCATAGCCAGATCGGCAAACATCGAGGCAAAAGATATGTAGACCTGATCCGGCACACTGCGCCCGTAGAGAGGTATCCATAACTTTTCAAAGTTATGGATTTTCAATAAATTGAAGTTGGGAGATAGGGGAAGCCAGTACCCCAAAGTTTTGAAGGGGGGACAGAAGGGCTGCAAGTAAAAAATTAAAAAATACAAGATATTTTCCAATATATGGGGGTAGACATCTATGTGAAGCATGAAGGTTACAAGTGGAAAAGCAGCAACTTCAAGGCAGCTTCATTCAAAATTGGGGGTGCCACCACAAGCTAATAAAGAAAAAGCTCTTGCCAGATGCAAAGGTCTCGACAGTATATTAGGGGTACCTGTTCAGGGAATGTATACTTTTTATCAAGCAAAGGGGTCACAGGAGGAGAAAAAGCGGTTAAGGGTTGCAATAATATTGATTGGAGTGGGGACACGGATTTCAATCTGGGCGGGTTTTTTCATAGTTGCTGCAGCAGACGTACTCAAGGAGTATGATTTTGCAACATGCTAAGCAATAAAAGAAAAAAGAAAATAAAGAAAAGCCGCTTCTGAAGAGAGTCCGGATAGCATAGTCATCGTTCAACCGTTTATACAAAAGCTGCCGCTATTGACTTATTGTTGAAATGACCTGCTCAAAGGAAGCGGGCACTCCTTCCACTTTTATATTAAGGGGACACATCAAAAAAGAAAAAGAACATAAAGTAGTCAAGCGATGGGCAACATATATGGAAGCAGCTGCAAATACTTTTATTTTATTCTGTTACAAGAAACATTATGCTGTAGAACAGGGCCAAGAGAGAAGTCCAGCACCTGATATGCAAAGCAGGAAGTAGTACCAAAGTAACGAAGACGCCGCACATTTGCAAAATAGAAGAGCATTTTTATCTGAAAGTAAATGGTAGATGGGGTCATTTTTCATTACCACCACTATTTTTGCCAGGCGATTTTAACGTTAAACTTGCAGAGTTCGTAAGACCTCAAATTTTGAGTTAAAAGTTGGTAATTAGCACATTGACTTTTGCAGCTTTCTTTCTGAATGGTGTAATCGGAAGTTGCCAGTAACGGAATTAGAATGGTTGTGCGTCGCTGATTAACAGAATGTGAGAAAGTGAATTGGATCGAAATGGTGCCGTCTGAAAGGCAATACGAAGAGACGGCGCATCGATTTGGGAGGAAGAGTGCGTGAAGGAAGAAATGAAAGACAACCTTTTCACGAGGCACCAGTAGAGAGAAATGTTTTGGTTTATCAGAAAAAGGCTACTCAACCTTATGCGCTCACGTAGCCTCGAAAATCAGATACAAATATTTCATTTGATATTTTATTACAGACTCCTTTTCTATAAATAATCTGATGTAAAGACATACCGAATACTTCGTTAATAACAGCACGCGACGCAGAGAAGGACGTTGGATAGTAACGTATATGGGCACCCGATTGCTCGATGGTGTATTTGTGCTGCCACGATCTTTTGTTTGCTAGCAACATGTGCTCATGCCTAAATTAACAATAATTAAAAGTGATCAGTAACGTTCATACGTAGAAAAAAAACGTTTGGTATTATCATGTGCTTATGTCGCCAAGATGCTTCTTGAGAAAGGATCGATAAATTGGTGGTTAGCAACGTGCGCATACTGCCAAGAAGCTTATATTAATATAAATAAAAAAATAAGTAGTGATGTTGATACCGCTGTTATCATGCGCTCGTGGCGCCAAGATATTTCCTGAGGAACAATCAATAACGTGGTCGAAAACATGCGCGTAGCGCCAATGTGCAAATTAAAATAATAATGAAGTAGTCTGATGCGTCTGCACCGTAACGATGAGTGCTATAATATAGATAAAGAATTGATTGTTAGAAAAAGATATAAAAGAGAGCGAAGAAAGCAACAGACTTATTACACCACCACTGATATTCTTCACGTACCCTTGTTTCCTTGACGATGTCCAACTTGAACGGCGAGTTCATGTTATGCTTTTGTCAAAATTGTCGGGCACATCCGGAGGGATACCGTCGAGTCACTCTGAGAGCGTATACTGATCATGTCAGGGCTGACGAACAGTATAATTTACAGCAGGAATTCAACGGTACGGTAGCAGAGCTTTCACAGAATAGTTTTTACGCTCGTATCAAATGTTGCATTATACTGATCCGCCATATGTAGATCAAACTCTACCGATGGTGGATGGGGGCGATATGCAGATGGAAGTCGATGATCCACAGCTGCCTGATCATAACGCCGACGTATTTGATGATGGTAATTTTGTTGATGATATTGATTGTGAGTTGCGATGTTGCACTGTGTTGCGCTTTGTTGAACTGATTGTGTGTTCCTTGTTGGAATCTAGTTGTTGAAGCTGCGGCGGATTCCGGTGTAACCTTGCCGTATGAATCATTTGGAGGTGACCAACCAGTAGCGGATCAAGAAAGAGATGACGATGAATTGATGTACCAGGCTGACGACGTCGAATTCGATAATGTAGTCGAAGATGATACAGCAGGTTAGTGGTAGTAATGGTGCTAGAAATAATGTGGAAAAAATATCAGGGTTAATAACTGCTATGCAATAGATGAACCGCCAACAATCCTAGCCGCAACAAACCCGCTCGATTCCGTCCCACAACCATTGATATTCGTCTTCATCTTCATTTGTTTATTCCAACTCCACCACCTATCCGAGCGTGTCGCATCCATGCTGATCACATTCATCATAACCTTGTTCGCCGGCCTTCACATCCTCCCCGAAAACACCATTATTCCGTCTACAATTGCTGGGATACGACAAGCTATTGGCTTTAACCGGTTGACACAGGATCTGCGAAAATATGTTGCCTGCAGCAAATGCCACGCCATATATCTGCCGTCACCAACGTTGCACGAGCGATGCACCAAGCCAAGCAGCATAATCGACGGAGATTCTTGCAATACACCTCTATTTAAAACAACCACCAACAACCGTCGCTCCCCTATTAAAGAATATACTTACCATCCCTTACAACAAGCCCTGAAAAGGTTCTTCATGCGTCAAGGTTTCGAGGACAAAATCCTTGGGTGGCGAAATCGTCGGATTCCAAGAGCAGGAGATCTCGGCGATGTGTACGATGGCATGAAATGGGTCAGTCTCCAGGATTCCAACAATACCACCTTTGTTGAAGACCCACGCTCGTTGATGCTGACACTTAACGTCGATTGGCTTGCGCCTTTTGACACCGGTTACTCGTGTGGCGCCATTTACATCACCATCAACAACCTCCCTCGTGCCGACCGCCAAAAAGTTGAGAACGTCATACTTGTAGGTGTTATGCCTGGACCAAGTGAGCCGAAGACCTATGAGATGAACCACTACCTTGAGCCATTAGTCGACGATCTCATTGCTCTGTACGATGGCATTGAAATGAGCACATTCCAAGAACCACAAGGCACACGGATTCGCGCAGCTCTGCTTAACGTTACCTGCGATATACCTGCTGCTCGGAAGGTTGGTGGTTTCACCTCGCATGCCAGTACGCGAGCATGTAGCAAATGCACGCGCGAGTTTGTCGTTTTTCCAGGCACTACAAAGCTGGATTATTCAGGTCACCAAATTCCGTCCTCGGACCTGCGGACAAAGGAGGGTAACCTACGCGACGCGCAGCAATGGCTAGCAGCAACAACACCAAGAGCACGGTACAACGTCGAGCGTGAGACAGGGACGCGCTGGTCGCAGCTCCATCGTCTTCACTACTTTGATCCAGTCTCGTCCGTACTTATTGATGTGATGCACAATTTGTTTCTGGGGACTGCCGCTCGGATGGTGTCTGGATGGAGGACTTTTGGTTATTTCCGTGAAGCTGACTATGAGGTTATGCAAGAGCGCGCTGACGGGATTGTGTTGCCGCCTGGAATGCCTACCCTGAAGCGCAAGATCCAGCGCAAGTTTGGCTTCATGACGGCTGAGGACTGGAAGACATGGACGCTCGTCTACTCCGCATTTGTCCTCAAACCCATCCTCCCTCCTGATCACATGGCGAACTGGATGCTTTTCGTCGCTGCGTGCCGCCACATTGTCCAAACCACGGCCACATATGAGCGTCTCGACCAAGCTCACATTTTATTCGAGCGTTTCATATGTGGTTGTGCAGCATTATACGGTCCTGATTTTGTTACGCCCAACATGCATTTGCACTTGCATTTACGTACCACCATCGAAGACTTCGGGCCGGTCTACGCACATTGGTTGTTCAGCTTCGAGCGATACAACGGTTTCTTGAAGGACGCGTACACGAACCAGAAGGACTCTTTCGAGGTAACCTTCATGAAGCGATTCATCGAGAAGGCCGGTGCTCTTGATTTCGTGACGAACGAGGCTCACCGCTTTGCTCAGCTACCACAACAGCTCAGGATGCTTGTACGAATGGCCGGTCAATATGTATCCTCCCTCGTCTCATACACCAGCAATGACACGCCATTCGACCCGTATGCTTTCGTTCAATTATCCTTAGACACGGATATCGACGTGGATGGTAGCGAGCCGTTGCCCCCTGACACGATCAGTTCCATGACAAGTGGAAA